ATAATATTCCATGGTGTATATGTACCACATTTTCCCTATCCAGTCTATCATCGTTGGGCATTTGGGTTGGTTCCAGGTCTTTGCTATTGTAAACAGTGCTGCAATGAACATTCGTGTGCACGTGTCCTTGTAGTAGAATGATTTATAATCCTTTGGATATATACCCAGTAATGGGATTGCTGGGTCAAATGGGATTTCTATTTTTAGGTCCTTGAGGAATCGCCACACTGTCTTCCACAATGGTTGAATTAATTTACATTCCCACCAACAGTGTAAAAGTGTTCCTATTTCTCCACATCCTCTCCAGCATCTGTTGTCTCCAGATTTTTTAATGATCGCCATTCTAACTGGTGTGAGATGGTATCTCAATGTGGTTTTGATTTGCATTTCTCTGATGACCAGTGATGATGAGCATTTTTTCATATGTTTGTTGGCCTCCTGTATGTCTTCTTTTGTAAAGTATCTGTTCATATCCTTCGCCCATTTTTGAATGGGCTTGTTTGTTTTTTTCTTGTAGATCTGCTTTAGTTCTTTGTAAATTCTGGATATCAGCCCCTTGTCAGATGGGTAGGCTGCAAAAATTTTTTCCCATTCTGTTGGTTGCCGATTCACTCTACTGACTGTTTCTTTTGCCGTGCAGAAGCTGTGGAGTTTGATTAGGTCCCAGTGAATTTTTTTTTTGTTCGTTTTTTTTTGTTTTTTGTTTTTGTTTTTGTTTTGAGACGGAGTCTTGCTATGTTGCCCAGGCTGAGTGTAGTGGCACAGTCTTGGCTCACTGCAGCCTCTGTCTCCCGGGTTCCAGTGATTCTCCTGCCTCAGCCTCCTGAGTAGCTGGGATTACAGGTGTGCACCACACCTGGCTAATTTTTGTATTTTTAATAGGGATGGGGTTTCGCCATGTTGGCCAGGCTGGTCTCAAACTCCTGACCTCAGGTCATGTGCCCACCTTGGCCTCCCAAAGTGCTGGGATTACAGGCGTGACCCACAGTGCCTGGCCTATGGCAAAATCTTTATGCTAGACAGATATATCCTATAGTCTTAATCTGAACTCAGTATTTTGACTTGTTTGATCTAATAGTCTTTTATAAGCTTTTATCTATTCTTTCCTTTTAAAGAATTGTTGGTCAGGCAAACCTAAATTTATACTTTCAAAAAATTTCTAAGTTGTTGGTATCAGTGGATTTGTTGTAACTTATTTTCTTTTTTATTTTTTTTGTTGTTGTTGTAACTTGTAAAACCATTAATTTGAAAGGTTTTAAGACATTAAAAAAAAATCTTGGCTGAAATGCCATAAGCAGTGAGTTTTATCTCATCACCTGTAAAAAAGTCAGCAGATTTAAAGTAATTGGAGAAAAAATGGAGATAGAAAACTTAGAAGGCTCTACATGTTGTAAGGTTTTTTTTGTTTTTGTTTTTTGTTTTTTTTGAAGAGTTTGAATAACGACCATTTGGACTGTGAATCTTCCCTAATATAATTATTTTGCCCTTCAGTTTAAAGATGTGCAGAGAACAGGCTGTAAAAAGTATCTGGCTAGGATCCCAGAAAACCTGGTATACCCTAATGTTTGAGAATCCCATTCCATTTCTTATTAATCCCTCAAGAGCAAAGAAAATCCTATAAATTCTGTCAGAGACGGTCAGATGTTTGGACTGATGCTTTAAATGATGGTGACTGCCATAGCGGTTTTAGTTAGCCACTCTGTATCTACCATTTGGAATGTTTCAGAAGGTTTTCAGAAATAAGCAAAAGAGCCAAATTAGACAGGTATAACCAAAATAAGACCAAGAAGAGACTCTTTTTGTACAAATTTTAACCCACACATGCAGATCATACACATTATTAAATCAGACATGCAGGCTGGGTATGATGGCTCATGCCTGAAATCCTATCAATTTAGGAGGCTGAGGTGGGCAGATTGCTTGAGCCCAGGAGTTTGAGACCAGCCTGGGCAACATGGTGAAATGCTGTCTCTACAGAAAATACAAAAATAATTAGCTGGGCATGTTGGCATGCATCTGTGGTCTCAGCTACTCTGGAGGCTGAGGTGGAAGGATCACCTGAGCCCAGGGAGATTGAGGTTGTGGTGAGCCGTGATGGCACTACTGCATCCCAGCCTGGATGACGGAGTGAGACCCTGTCTCCTAAATAAATAAGACATGCAGACCCAAAGTGAATTCACCAGAAAAGATGTGCCTCATAGAACGAAAGTTCTGTAGAAATTGGAGCAGTCACCTCAGAAAGACACTTGTCTTTATACCAGAAAAGACAAAAAGTATTTTATCATTCCAGAAGAGTTGTAAAGACAGCCTTATAACCAAACCAATCCAGAATTACACACACACACACACACACACACACACACACACACACACACACACACATTTTTTTTGAGATGAAGTCTCACTCTGTCACCCAGGCTGGAGTAGTGGTATGATCTTTGCTCACTGCAATCTCTGCCTCCCAGGTTCAAGCAGTTCTCTGGCCTCAGCCTCCTGAGTA